TTTTTTTTTTTTTTAACAGAAGATCAGTTTAGTATACATTAAGTGAAGATTTCAACAGTTTGCACCCCCATAGAAACACAAAGTGAAATATACTGATTGAGTACTCATTACAGCATTAAGTCTCAATGTACAGCACATTAAGGACAGAGATCCTACATGAGGAGTAAGTGCACAGCGACTCCTGTTGTTGACTTTACAAATTGACACTCCTGTTTATGGCATCAGTAATCTCCCTATGCACCAGTCATGAGTTTCCAAGGCTATGGAAGCCCCTTGAGTTCTCCGACTCTTATCTTGTTTAGACAAGGTCATAGTCAAAGTGGAGGTTCTCTCCTCCCTTCAGAGAAAGGCACCTCCCTCTTTGAAGACCTGTTCTTTCACAAAAACAAAACCAACAACCCACTTAAGAGATGGGCCAAGGACTTCAATAGACATTTTTCAAAAGAGGAAATCCAAATGGCCAACAGGCACATGAAAAAATGTTCAAGGTCACTAGCAATCAGGGAAATGCAAATCAAAAGCACAATGAGGTTTCACCTCACCCCGGTTAGAATGGCTCACATACAGAAATCTACCAACAACAGATGCTGGCGAGGATGTGGGGAAAAAGGGACACTAACCCACTGTTGGTGGGAATGCAAACTGGTCAAGCCACTATGGAAATCAGTCTGGAGATTCCTCAGAAACCTGAATATAACCCTACCGTTCGACCCAGCCATCCCACTCCTTGGAATTTACCCAAAGGAGTTTAAATTGATAAAGAAAAAAGCGGTCTGCACCCTAATGTTTATTGCAGCACAATTCTCACTGGGATTAAACATGACAATAGGTCTGATCTGATTTCATCATCATTTAAAAAATCAACTATTATTTTTCGCTTTATGTTTGTGTGGGAGCAAACTGTTGAAATCTTTACTTAATATATGCTAAACTGATCTTCTGTATATAAAGAGAATCGAAAATGAATCCTCATGTGAATGGAAGGGGAGAGGGAGTGGGAAAGGGGAGGGATGCAGGTGGGAGAGACGATATGGGGGGGGGAGCCATTGTAATCCATAAGTCGTACTTTGGAAATTTATATTCATTAAATAAAGTTAAAAAAATATATATAAAACTAAAACCATCCAAATCGCCACAGTATCCCAACAGTTCTGAGATTCCCCAAATCCAGTGACCAAAAAAACTTTCTAAAAATCCCAAGGACTTATCACCTGCAAGTGCGTGCCTGTCCCCTCCAGACCCACGTCTCGCAGCCTCTGAGAACACCTCTGAGAACACCTGCTCTTCCAAGTCTCCTCGGCACCCTTCACCCCTCACGTGTGCCATGGGCCGACCCGTGCCCCCCGCCCTGCCCCGCCCCGTCCCGGTCATTTGTCAAAGTCCTGAGGCCCAGGACCTCCGAGTGTCACTGCACGTGCAGGGAGGGCCTTTAAGGGGAAAGTAACGCAACCTGAGCAGGCGTCATCCGACGTGACTGCAGTCCTTGCACAAGGAGGAGATGGACGCAGACACACACGGAGGGACACCACACAAGGCGAAGGGGGCAGGCTGGCCAAGCAGCGATCACCCTCTGGCCTCCAGAATCAGCAGGAAAGAAATTCTTGTTTCAACCAAGAACGTGCGGTCTCGGTAAGGACAGCCCTGGAAAACACGAATGTTTTTTAGGAAATCCCACAGGGACCCGTGGGCCTGGAAACTGCTTCAGTAAGTGTGCGAACATCCAGCAAGGCGGCGGAGGGGAGGGGAAGAAAGAAACGGAAGCATCACGTGTTGACATTTTTTTTTTTTAATATTTGGTATTTGTAAGTCTTTTTAAAAAATTTTTTTCAGGCCATTTTTTTTCCTTAAAAAAAATGCAACCAAGAGCAATATTCTGTACAAGTATAACAAACATTAGAAATAGGCATCATTCCAAAATAGTTACAAGAAAATTACAGTTTAGAGTCCACGTCTTCACATCCTATGCGTATGCGCCCCCAAGGGAGGAAAGAGCTCCAGTGTGTCCGACACACAGCTGCTACACAGTAGTCTGAAAACACAACTTGGACTTCCGAGGCAAACCAGCATCAGTCACCAAGGCTTGCTTAGCTCCACAAGCGCCATCAAGCATTTCCAAAGAAAACCAGGCCTTTGCATCCCGGATAAAAAACAAAGAGGAATCGACTGCAGAGTTGGCCATGCCCGGTCCCCCAGCTTCTGACATCGCACAGCGTCAATCCAGTAGAATCGGGGAGGCCAGAGCCTGGCTAGAGGTCATCACGCGGCCCCAGTGGACCCCAAATAGAGTCAGCTCTGGAGGCAAAACGTTCTTGCACCCAAGGGCAGCTCTGAGTGGCCCCCAGCCCCCAAGGCCAGCTGGCCCGAGAGCCTCGCACTGGCTGCTGCTCTGTGCTGCTGGCCTCTCGCAATCCCAGCTCCCTGTCCCTGGGCGGCCTCGGGCAGCAGCTCAGGAGCAAACCCCCAGCCTGCGTGTCCTAACCCCACACTAACCTTCCCTTCTCCATCACTGGGCTGTAAAGGCCCCTCCCCATCCCCTTCTGAGACACACCGGGACCTTCGTGGGACCTGCCCGCTTGGAAATCCCACACCCCTCCCCCACCAGCCTCCCGGGGCGGGGTGGGGGGTGGGGCTTGGGAATGAGGTCGGGGTGTCAGCCCGCTTCCCACGCCCGCACCAGGCGGGACGCAGGAGGGCCTCCGTGTTGCACAACGTTCGGTGTGTTTCCAATTGCGTCGCTCGGTCCTCTGACAGTTTCTCGGCCTTTACCGGATGCTTTGAAGGGATGAGTTCTCTCCTGTGACTTTCCCGGGGCAGCCAGGCGTGCAGGGCAGAGCTGGGGGTCTACACGGACTCAGACACCCAAGCACTCGTCACAGCAGACAGATCGGCGGGGGACAGGGAGTGGTCCACAGAACAGCCGCCTGGACAGGGACCTCAGGATGCAGTCAGAGACCCCCGGGGGCAGACCAGCATGAGGGATGCAACACCTGCTTCACGCACCGCCTGGGGACACCTCGGCTCCCTGACCTGCACCTGCAGGGAGCCAAGGCCCCCTCTGATGCTGAGTCCAGAGCGCCTGACCCAGCCAGGACAGCCGGCTCCCTGATGGGCCTGATACTGAATGAGCTGCTTACCCCAAAGAAGGCAAAAGAAAGTGCAACTGCCATTTGAGGAGGAAGATTCTCCCCCAAAACACGGCCTCTCCTTCTCCTCCTCTCAGTACCTCGGAGGGAAAGGGGACAGAAGACAGAGTGGGAAACCTCTGAACCATACACACCAAGCACTTAAGTACGTGCGGTTCTGCCTTGCTAACCTCGCTGTGTCCACCCAGCGACCGAAGCGCCAGGGACTGGAAGAGCGTGGCTCCCACAGGGCACCGCTGACCAGGGGGGCCACCGGACTCCAGGGACTTGGCTATTCCTTCATCACACCTTGTGAATGAACTTCATTGCCTATTGGAGGATAAATCAAAACGTCTTCAAAATATAACCTGAGCCACAACACAAGATACAAAGAAACAAATCCTTTCATGTTAATGCCTTGAGAAGTTTACAGATTATGTACCCATAAAATAAATCCACATAAATTCTGAAACTCTTGGTGGATATACACCTGAAGCAAAAAAAAAAAAAAACTACATTTTTTTAAAAAATCAAAGTAATTACAGCAGCAGTATAGTGAAAAGAGGTTTTAAAAATAATAATTACATCTTTGATACAAATCAAACTTTGTACACCTCAATTTGCAGGAATGACAGTTTTAAGAGCTGAGTATTTATATATACAGTAGATACGGTATGTGCCACTGCAGATAAGAGACTACAGCCAGTGGACTTCAGGGGTCAAGGGTTAATCTGACACTCGGTTCACACGAAGTGTTCACAGATTGCCATACTTTTAAAAACACACACACACAAACACACACACACATGTACACACATAAAATGCCAACCTGAGTAAAACATCACTAAAAACCTACAGCATCATGAATCACTAAGTCACATATTGCACCTTTAAATAATCCTTCTTAACCAAAGACAGAAACGACAGAAAGAATAAAACACGGACAGGACAGGATTTATGTCACCATCGGATTCCTCGTTCTCCCACCCCTGCCCACAGAAATTCTGAAAGCGTTATTTAGTTTCCATTCTCACCCAACCAATGGGCTGAAAATGTTGCCAACAGAAGTCTTTGGAGAAAACTGGGAGGGAAAAAGGAAGAAAAATCGGAGCACAAATGTATGGGGAGTGGGGTGGGGGTGGGGGGACAGCAAGGGGCAAAGAGCCCCCCTCTAATCCAACGAGGACAGGAATGTCACCGAGAAGGCGGAATTCTGATGCTAAACTATGCTTAAATATTCCGTATATTCCAATTACGAGATTCAATACAAAAATATAGATATCTACTGAGTTTTGCCTGTGGAAGCATAATTCAGAAAAGGCACATGTTCAGAGAGAAAACCCACGCGGGAAGAGGCGCCACGGAGCCCACCCGCCAACATGCTGCTCACCCACTATTCCGTCTTCTCCACCAGCTAGGTTCCAAGACACAGTAGGTAAAAATAGACCTCTGATACTGAAAATATATTCAACCCAACACAATCCTGCCTTGAGCATGTGAGTCACAGAAAATAGTCTTTGAAAAAAAAAAGAAGAAGAATCTGTTTGAAAACAAAAGAGAAAAATCATGGCTCACTTCTCCTGGTTTTTCCACGATTCTCTAGGGGGAAAAAAAAAAAGTGAACTCATCCCACTGGTAATCGGAATGCAAGTGATGTGGTCACCGCGCACCCACAGCCCCCACCTGGCGTTTCTCAAGTGTTCCACCTGCAGCTTCACACCCCCCAAGTCAGTTCCAACAAAACAGAACAAAGAACTAAGAAATTAGACGTTTGAAAAAAAAAAAAAAAAAAAACAGAAACAAAAACAAAACAAGTCGACACCGGGGCGCGTTCCTTGGCTGTGGGCGTGAGAGTCTGGTGAGCTCCGGGAAGGCGTTCCCTTGGAATCAGGCAATGTAACCATTTGTCTTTCCGAACGTGGACGCCGGCGCCAGGTTTTCATAGATGGCCATTGCAGTTGTGTTCTGGTAGATGAGATCTACTCTGGAGTCTTTCTGGGATCTGATGATATCCAGGACACACTGATTGAGGAAAACATACTGGTCCTGAAAGTACAGAGCAGGGGGGAGAGCCAGTGAGCACGGGAGCCAGGGAGGGGGCACCCAAATGGTTTTCATCCAGATCACCCCCAAGCCCCAGCCACCCAAGAGCAAATAGTTCAAGCTCCTGTGTTTCAAGAGGCAACGGCGTTCTGGTGAAATGAGTCTTGGTCAGTAATTCTCAACCTCAAGGAACACTCCCCACCTCCCCTGCCCCAAGAGAAGGAGCAGAAGCCTGGGGGAAGGGCTAAGGAAGATGCACACACACGTTCGAACTGTGTGTTCGGGCTGTGCAGAACGAGGAGTGAGCTGCCGTTCTCTCTGCGTAGAGGTGGGCAGAGACCACCGTGCAGCAGGCATCACAGAACCTGCAAGTGCTCATTTAAAGAGGAGGCGGCGCCGCGTGCTGACACAGAAGATTCCCACGGGGGTGGGCACAGAAAGGAAGGGGCTGCATCGCTTATCAGCAGGCGTGGGCTCGACTCCTGGCTCTGCTCCTGATTCCAGCTTCCTGCTAATGCTGCTGGGGGGCAGCAGCTGATGCCTCAAGTACTTGGGTCCCCGACACCCATGTGGGAGACGCCGATGGAATTCCTGGCTCCTGGCTTCAACCTAGGTCAGCCCTGGTCCTTGTAGGCATGTGGGGGGGAGGGGGCGGTGAACAAGCGAATGAGCGTCTGCCTGCCTTTCAAATAAATATAAATACATTTAAAATCCAAGAGGAGTTGGAGCTAGTCATATTTTTTTTTTTTTGACAGGCAGAGTTAGACAGAGAGAGAGAGAGACAAAGAGAAAGGTCTTCCTTCCATTGGTTCACCCCCCAGATGGCCGCTACAGCCAACGCGCTGCGCTGATCCAAAGCCAGGAGCCAGGTGCTTCCTCCTGGTTGCACCTGCCCATGCCGGTGCAGGGCCCAAGCACTTGGGCCATCCTCCACTGCACTCCCGGGCCACAGCAGAGAGCTGGACTGGAAGAGGAGCAACTGGGACTAGAACCCAGAGTGCCAGCGCCGCAAGCAGAGGATCAGCCTAGTGAGCCGCGGCGCCAGCCAAGTCATATTTTTTAAATAAAGATTTCCATGATGGTGTGAAGAGAAAAATCACAGGGAAATGTAAAACAGGATTCTGTTGCTTCAAAATATCCCACGAGTGTGTGTGTGTGTGTGTGTGTGTGTGTGAGAGAGAGAGAGAGAGAGATTGTATATTTATAGATAAAAAGGTATATAAAGACATAAGCCAATATTACACTATATAAATATATGGATTAACCAGCAAAAATAAATAAATAAATATATGGATTAAAACATCACATAGTACCCTATAAATATGTATAATTTTATGCATCGGCTAGAATTTAATTTAAAAATATATACGCCAAACTATAAACATTGGCTACCTCTAGAGAGCAGAATAAGGAATAAAAAAGTGAAAGAGAAAAAATGTATTCCACATAGTCCCACGTATGGTTAAATTTTTAATATAAGTTTTTGTTTTGTTTTTTTTTTTTTTCAAAAAACACGGATGATAAAATAATGTTCAGGCAGGTGTAAGAGTTCTGTGTTTCTCAAAAGAAGATAGAAGACTGAGAAACACTACTCCATGTGATTATCACAGAACAAAGAAAATCTCACCTCCAACCAATGCAGGAGATGAATCTCTTTCCACCACAACCGTGCAGCTCTCCCCCAAGCACACAATGTACCCACGGCCTCCAGAATAGAGGAGACTAGACTCAAAAGCATAGCCCATATTCACAGAGCTGTAAAAGGGTACAGGGTGACAGCCCAACACGAAATTAATATTCTGCTCTCATCCTGGTGCGGTGGCACCCACCTCTGTGAGGACGGGTACTTCCCAGCGCATTCTGTTGAAAATGTCTCCAAAATACTGTGCATCAGGCACAATTCAGGGAAAGGCAAATCCAACAGCCATACCCGAATTAGGCCACAGACAGGAAGCCCCTCTTTCCCGCAGTGGTCAGCCAGGCTCCTGCGGCTACACTGACATACTCTGATGTCGACAAGCTCGGGAGAGGGTGCACTGATGTGTCAGTGCCTAAGGAACACTGCACTACTTCCCTAGCACTCATGTTTGCCAAGACTGATTCATTAGTTTGTTTGAAAGATGGCCCAATCTTCTTAGAAACAAAGAATGGGAGTTGGAGCTGTGGCGTAGCGGGTAAAGCCTCCCTGCTCCTCTTCTGATCCAGCTCTCTGCTGCGGCCTGGGAAAGCAGTGAAAGGTGGCCCAAGTCCTTGGGCCCCTGCACGCATATGGGAGACCCGGAAGAAGCTCCTGGCTCCTGACTTCAGATCAGCACAGCTCCAACTGTTGCAGCCATTTGGGAAATGAACCAGCGGATGGAAGATTTCTCTCTGTCTCTTTCTCTCTCTCTGACTCTCCTTCTCTCTGGTGTAACTCTTTCAAATAAAATAAATAAATCTTTAAAAAAAAAGAGTGAAAAAGATCTGTTTGATGCATTTAAAGCCTGGAAACCCAGGTTCAGAGACTTGCTGAGACTGTCTGGTTAGTCAGAGGCAGCAATGGAAAGAATCCTGGTAACTATGTTGGTTTACTGTTCCACTCCTGCTGTCAGAACTACATGTCACTTGTGACAGGTAATTCAACTCCAAGTCAGCTTAAGATCTGCAAAGAAATCCAGCGAGACTTCAGAGCCAAGAGCCAGAAAGATCTGGAAGGATGAAATATTTTAGCCTAAGTGTGTGACATGATGCAACCTTTTCTTTTTTTAAGATTTATTTATTTATTTTGAAATTCAGAGTTACAGAGAGAGAAGGACAGAGACAAAGAGACCACCCATCCACTGGTTCTCTCTCCAGATGCGACAAATGGCTAGCGCTAGGCCAGGCTGAAGATGGGAGATTCATCTGGGTCTCCCACATGGGTAGCAGGGGCCCAAACACATGGGCCATCTTCAGTTGCTTTTCCCAGGAGCTGGATCAGAAGTGGAACAGCCAGGCAAAAACCAGCGCCCATACAGGATGCCGGCATCCCAGGCAGCTGCTTTACCTGCTGCGCCACAATGTCAACCACTGATACAACCTTTTACAAACAGCTGAGGGGGCCGGCACTGTGGTATAGTGGGTAAAGCCTCCGCCTGCAGTGCCAGCATCCCATATTGGTGACAGTTCGAGTCCCAGCTGCTCCACTTCTGATCCAGCTCTCTGTTATAGTCTGGGAAAGCAGTAGAAGATGGCCCAAGTCCTTGGGCCCCTGCACGCACATGGGAGACCCGGAAGAAGCTCCTGGCTCCTGGCTTCAGATCAGCACAGCTCCAGCCATTGCAGCCATCTGGGGAGTGAACCATCGGATGGAAGACCCCTCTCTCTCTCTCTGTCTCTCTCTCTCTCTCTCTGTCTCTCTGCCTCTCTAACTCTGCCTTTCAAATAAACAAAACAAAACAAACAAAAAAAAAACCAGCTGGGAACAGTGGAATACCAGCACAGATCTCGGCCTCACCTCTGTCTGCACCATTAAAGCCCTGTGCATCCGGAGGTCATACACAACGCCGTACACGTCCACCGTGTTCTCGTTCTCGATCTGGTAGATGAGACGATCAACAGCAATGAAAGTGCCCGTCCTTCCAACTCCAGCGCTGGGAGAAAAGTGAAACAAGCCCGTGAGAGAGGGTGGTGTCCACTGAAAAACTCGATGCCAAAATGTATGGAGCTGGCTCTCCAGGATGAGGCTCTGAAGGCACTGTCCAGGGTCAGGGAACGCTGGCCAATGGAAACTTCAGTGTGCCAGACAGGATCGGCTGGGACAACAATGGCCTAAGTCCCAAACCTACTTTGAGTCAAGGCACGCCAGTAAGACATCTTAACTTGAGTTTCCTAGATCATCCAAGTCAAGTTGCCACCATAACTTAGCATGGAATATCTCATCAACTGATTCCCTCTAGAGCCAAAAAATCCCTCCTCTCTTCTGTCCTGACTTAATCCTTTTATCTTGAAAGCTAACTTTTTCCTGTTCTCGAGTAGGGGCTGATAAACCTTTCCTGCAAAGGGTCAGTGTGGGGAGCCATTGCACGGCGCCCTAAAGATGGCGCCGGCTCCTTTCCCCCCGGAAGGACTGGCGAGAAACAAACATCTCCTAATAAGGAGATGTTTGAGCTCCCTTCCGGCTTCCGCATTGCTGTACCTATCAATCCTTGCCACTTGGCTGCTTTTGATTGGTGTGCTGATGGCTATAAGAGGGATGGGAGAGGGAAGGAGGCGGAAGAAGAAGCTTGTTCAAGGTTCCTGAATAAACTGCTTGAAGAAGAGTTCGGGTTGCGTCTTCCTTGCTGGTCGAGGGACGCGACAACTGGTGGCCCGTACGGGGAACCATCTCAAACGCGAACTCAGAACTTCCTGCAGTCAGGGCAGCGCTGGTAAGTCCCCCAGGAAAATAAGGTGGGGATCCGCGATAAGAGCGGGAAGTCCTGCGACAATAGCGGGAGGATAGCTCTGCGATTAAAGCAGAGGAAGTTCTGTGACAAAAGCAGAAGGAGCTCTGACCCGTGGCCAGGGAAAGAGTAAAATTTTAGACGGTGGGTAATTCACAGTCCCATCCAATTTTTCTGGCGCTGAATGCGCTGCTTTGAGAAAACGGTTTGAAACTTAAGCCTAGTACATTGCATAGGTTTTTACGTAACTGCGATACCATTGCACCCTGGTATGGGGTTTCGGGAAGCCTTACTATCCCTTCATGGGACAAACTAGACAGGGATTTGGATTTTGCATTCGAAAAGGGTAATCTCAAAAGGGGAGTGAGACCAATATGGAAGTTAGTGCGAGCATGCCTCGAGGATGAGCAGTGTAGTGAAGCTATTCTGAGCGGTCAAGCTGCCTTGGAGGAGCTTCAGGAAGAGCACTCCGAGAGAGCTGCCAGTGAAAAAGGGAAAACTTTAAAGGATAGTCAGAAAAGAACTAGAAAAAAACTGTACCCCAATCTTTCCGAGTTGCGCAGCCCCTCCTCAGTAAGTAGTACTAGTGCAGAAAGTAGCTCAGAAAGCAGCAGTGAGTCTGAAGAGTGTGGTGATAACAAAGAGTCTGGTATAAAGCAAGTACGGGAATTGAATCGGCAAATGAGGATTTCCAAAAATTACAGCCGCTGAGCCATTACTAGGTGCTCCAAATATATTTACAGATGGGTCAAAAACAGGCTGTGGGGTTTATATGGTAGAGGGTAATGACCCGGTATTTCATCAGTTTCAGCCAGGCTCACCTCAAGTTGTGGAATTAAAAATAGTTATTGAAGTCCTTAAGCAGTGCTCTTTTGCCTTTAAGTTGTTGTCAGATTCCTTATATGTGGTGAACGCATTAAAGATATTGGAAACCGCAGGACTGATTAAACCTTCTAGCCCAATTGTATCCCTAATGTCAGGTGATTGCTCATTGTCTGGATGCATGGGCCGCCTGGGGGAGACCCCAGGTGCTAAAAACTGATAATGGCCCGGCCTATACATCTCAAACCTTTACCACCTTTTGCCAAAAAAATGGAGGTTCAACTTGTCCATGGATTGCCGTACAATCCTCAGGGCCAGGGCATAATTGAGCGAGCACACCGCACACTGAAAGAATATCTTTTAAAACAAAAAGGGAGGCACGACAGGCCAGGAGAAAGAGAGAGGAAAAATTCCACAGGTATCTTGACCTAGAGAAAAGTCTTAATTCGATAACCCTTTCCAACTTGATGGGTTTTTCTGTTTACAGTTAATAAAAACTTAAGCAATGGGCTCATACGCTAATAATCAATTCTTTTCTGTGCTGCTGTAGCTAACTTATCTAATGAGAGTTTTCATGTGTCTTGAAGGTTTCGCATTTTTCTATTGCCAGTATGAGTCTTGATTGGAAAAACTGCATCATGAAGCTGTTTACGTTATATCTTTAATGTTTGAGTGAGTACCTAACTTTGATTAGATCTAGTCCACAGCCTTGGTTAAACGTACTAATTTTTGACTAAAATGGTTTGACTCTCTGATAGTTTAAATTCTAAACCGAGTCTTTCAACTTTGGGGCTTCCAGTCGGATCCCTGGAACTCTCAAAGGATGGGACTCTAAATTTGTTAAAGTAACAGCTGTTTGAGTCAATTCAAATTATACAAAGTGTATTAAAATGTAGTAAATGAGGTCAAATCTATGTTGTATTCATGTTTTTGCTTTTCAGCTAAAGTAGTCTTATAAAAATGAGAGTAAATTCTGTGTATACAAGCCTTTATGCTGTTAACTCAAGTAAGCCAATACAGATTGGTTCAGAAAGTTGGGTTAATGCAAACGCCCTTTGGTTCACTTGCTCAGTTTTACATTTACATGTCTTTGATATGCTTTAAACTTGTTTCTCTTAAGGATGAAGATCTTTTCAAAGTTGTAAATATGCACTAGTGACTGTTGCTGCCCAAGTGGTGTTATCCTTATGTTACTTAAAAGCATGCAAATGTAATTTTGACTTTTAATTCAGATAATGGTGTGGTATTCATTAATAGCTCAGTGTTTTAAGTTATCCAGGCATCGGTGCTAAGTAAAATATGGAAAATGTATTATGTGTACTTTTAACATCTTAAATTTGATAAGAGAGACTTAAGTTTGCCAGCATGTATTCTCATAGGTTGTCCATACATGATAATTCAAGACTGTAAAAGTAACTACAGGTATAAAGTTTCAGAAGGTGTGAGCAAGTCATGAAAAGTTGTAAAAAGTTTACAATTTTAAAGCATTGTTTACAGAATTTTCTATAAGTTAAATGTTAATGCCAAAATTACACTAACCTAAAGTTGAAGTCTGATCTTCTGTTATAACAATGAGATTTTTTTAAAATGTGTACTATTGTTATTAATTATCTGAAAATGGTCTCAATTGTAAATCTTAAAATCTGTTGTTGCAAAAACTGTAACGTCTCTTTTTAACAGTGTCTGCTTAATCAGTTACTCTGCCATTTCTAAAGTTAGGTCGTGTAAGCTCTTTTTAACTCTGTTAAATAGTTCTGAGTTATGTGATAATTTCATGTGCTAACTCTTATGTTCAAGGTTTTTGTATTTCTGGTTTACCTAAAAATTCATGTTCTGCCAAGTAAATGTGTACTCTACTGTCTGTTAAGTTATAATTGATAAAAAGTATTAAGTCTTAAAAAGTTATGTTAAATATTATGATCAGATCTGGTCTAAAAGTATTAAAATCGCCCTGACTAAATGTTAAGGAATTCTATTTTGACCAGATACTCTAAGTTCTCTTGGCACCTTTAACAGACTTTCTGAAAATCAAAGTTCTAAATTCTCTGGACTTTTGGTATCTCCAGAGGGCCCCTGGAGATGTCAAAAGATATATCTCTCATCTTGCAGAGATAATAACCAATCGGGCTGTTTAGATTAAAAGTGGTGCCAAGATGTGAAATGATGCTAAACTTCAGTTATAAACGTGTTTCTTTTCTAGCT